CCTCGCTCAACCAGTGAGCGGCCGGTCTGTATGTGGGATCCGAACCCTCGGCGGGAGCGCCACTGCACTCCCAAGCGGCACACTGTAGCAGTGCACCACCGGGCCAGCGAAAGCTCGGTTTTCTAACTAGTTTTTTCTCACGGGGGTTTGCTAGGTTGAGTTGCGTGGCTTAACATCAGACTTTCAATATGATTTTTATCTCTCTGATATATTAGTTTCCTACTGCTGCTATGACAAATTATTGCAAATTTAGTGACTTAAAGCAACACAATGTATTATATTTATGGCAGTCGAAGTCCAAATGTGGCTAAAATCAGGATGTCAACAGGGCCGGTTTCTTTTAGAGGTTCGAAGGGAGAATCCGTTTCCTCGCCTTTTCTGGCTTGTAGAGTCTGCCTTCACTCCTTGGCTTGTGACTGTACATTATGTCACCTTTCCTCACTCTGCTTCCATCATTATCACATCACCTTTTTCTCTTCTGCAGCCAAATCTCCCTCTGCCTCCCTCCTATAAGGACATGTGATTATATTTAGGGACCATCTAGATAATTCAGGATGATATGCCCACATCAAAATCCTTAACTTAATCCCATCTGTAAAGTCCCTTTTGCCATATAACGTAACACACAAAGATTCTAGAGATTAGGACCTGGATACCTTTGAGGGGTCTTACTCAGCCTGTCACATATGAGTATCAAGGGTATATGTTTCTCCATGAGCCAAGTTACCTCATACTTTACATGTTCTCAGTCCAAGACTGACTAGCATTTCTATATTCCAGGCCCAAATTCATGGAAGAAAAACTTAAAGTGAGTCCTTGTCTATCTCAAATCCTATCAACTATGATTTGAGGGTCAAGACATGTATAAAAATTGGTAGTCAAAGCATATTCATGTAAGGAATTTGGGGAGAAGACACCATAGATTATGTTTAATCTATGAAATTCATTAAATTTAGGCAAAATAGGATGTCTTTTCATTCTGTTGATTGTTTCTTTTGCTGTGCAGAAGCTTTTTAGTTTGATATAATCCCATTTATTTCATTTTTCTTTTGTTGCTTGTGGTTTTGGGCTCTTAATCCTAAAGTCTTTGCCAAGTCTTATTCCCTGGAACATTTCATCTATATTATCTTTTATTAATGTTATAGTTTCCCGTCTTAATCCATTTTGAGTTGATTTTAATATATGGCAAGAGGCACAGGTCTAGTTTCATTCTTCTTCTTATGGATGTCCAGTTGTCCTGGAACCATATATTGAAGAGGCAGTTCTTTTCCCCAATGTATGTTCTTGTTGCCTTTGTCAAAGATCAGTTTATTGTAAGTATGTGGGTTGATTTGTGGGTTCTCTATTCTGTTCCATTGGTCCATGTGTCTGTTTTGATGCTAGCAACATGCTGTTTTGTTTTGCTTTGTAGTATAAATTTGAAATCAGGTACTGTTATGCCTTTGGCTTTATTTATTTATTTGTTTGTTTTGCTCAGGATTGCTTTGGCTGTTCGGGGTCTTTTGTTGTTCTGTATGAATGTTAGGGTTGTTTTTTCTATTTCTGTGAAGAATGTCATTGGTATTTTGATGGGGATTGCATTGAATCTGTAGATCGCTTTGGATAGTATGGACATTTTCACAGTGTTGATTCTTCTAATCCAAGAGCATAGAATGTCTGTTTTTTGTGTCTTTAATTTCTTTCTGCAATGATTTGTAGTTCTCATTGTAGATCTTCCACCTCCTTGGTTAAATTGATTCCTAGGTGTTTTATTTATTTATTTATTTATTTATTTTGGTTGCTATTGTAAATGGACTTGCTTTCTTGACTTCTTTTTCAGCTACTTTGTTATTGGAGAATAAACATGCCACTGATTCTGGGGTATTGATTTTGTATCTTGCAACTTTACTGAAATTGTTTATCAGCTCGAAGAGTCCTTCATTAGATTCTTTAGGTTTTTCCACATATAGAATCATGTCATCTGCGGATAGGGACAACTTGACTTCATCTTTTCCTATCTGGATGTCCTTTATTTCTTTTTCTTGACTGATTCCTCTGGCTAGTGCTTCTAATACTATTTTCAAACTATACATCCAACAAGGGATTAATGTCCAGAATATGTAAGTAACTCAATCAAACAACTTCACAATAAAAGAACATATAACCCAAGTCAAAAATAGGCAACGGAGCTGAATTGATATTTTTCAAAAGAAGACATAAAAATGGCCAACAGGTACATGAAAAAATGCTCAACATCACTAGTCATTGGAGAAATGAAAATCAAAACCACTTTTAGATATCATCTCACCCCAGTTAGACTGGTTATAATAAAAAAGGCACACTAACAAATGCTGGTGAGGAGGTAGAGAAAGGGGGAATTGTCTACACTGTTGGTAGGACTATAAATTAGTACAGCTATTATGGAAAAAACTATGAAGGTTTTTCAAACAACTACAGGCAGATCTACCAAATGATACAGCAAACCCACTTCTGGGTATATCTCCAAAGGAATGAAAATCATCATGTCGAAGGGATACCTGCACTCCCATGTTTATCACAGCTCTATTTACAACAGCCAAAGTATGGAACCAACCTAAATGTCCATTGATGGATGACTGGCTAAGGAAAATGTGGTATATATACACCATAGAATACTGCTCTGCCATAAAAGGAATGAAATTCTGACATTCACAGCAACACAAATGATCTTGGAGAAAATTATATTAAATGAAATAAGCCAGGCACAGAAAAAGAAGTACCATATGTCCTCATTCATAACTGAGAGCTAAGAAAGAAAGAAAGAAGGAAAGAAAGAAAGAAGGAAAGAAAGAAAGAAAGACCACAATAATATGGTGAACTTTCAGAAGGAGAGAACACTAGAGGTGGGAAAGGGGGAGGGGGAAGGGGGCTGAGGGAGAAATCGGGTAAGGGACACAAAGAGTAATTAAAATTTGCAATAATGAACATGGTAGTAATATTGAGTTGATCATCACATATTGTACACAAATGCCAGTAGTCAACTGTGTATTCCATAAATATGTATAATTATTTATGTTTCAATTAAAAATAAATAAATATCTTTAGGCAAAATAAAATCAAATTCTTCATTTTCAAAGTATTGGTAGTGTTTGAAGATAGGTGCCCAGCTAGGCTGAAAAATGATGAAGTTGTCAACCTATAAGAGTGGACCACTGCCTCCATAGCCCTGGGACTCTATGCCCATTCTCTGAATAAACAGAGGCTTCCGGACAGCCTGCCTTCACATTGAGGCAGAAACTTAGGAATCTAGCTCTTCTTTGTACCCCACTTTTCCTATTCTAATTTACATTCCAGGACTTGGTCCCTGTGA